AAGTCCTTACTTCTGTTGGAGCCTTTGGGAGCATGACGCCTTTTATTCAGCCCGCCTACGGTACTAGTGAAATGCCGCAGAATATGTGTCGTGTTGCCGCAGTATGGGATGCCACCTTTGTGCTGCGACGTAGTCTACTTTTGCCCTGTTGTCATCGGGAGAAAAGTGCTGTGGATCGAAGCACGCCGTCGATTGAGATGAGCAACCGTCAGCGTGTAAAGACGAAGGTGGTATTGGTGCCCCGCACATTGGCCAGCCATTTCTTGGCGTCGTCATCATCGTCTTCTTCTTTTTCTCCTGCTCCCGCCGAAACACTGACGGTGACGGAGCATAATAATAATAACATTATTAACAATAAGGTGCGTTTCTCTCGCGTCATTATGGTTGCAACGACGCCGCTTGTCTCATGGACCGCACTGCGATCTGCCGGCTGCACGGATGACGAAGTGGCTGGAAAAGATGATACGATACAGTCGTTTCCGCCGCTCTTCCTTGCACTGTGTGAGGTACGGCCTGGTGTGGTGGTGCACATCCAGCAGGTGAGCGCCGCCTCGGAACAGGCACCAAACGATGGGAGTTCTGTTGTTGTGCATTTCACAGCAAATGCGCGGGAGATGGGCGCGGAGGAACTGCGCCAGTTTGTTTCGCAAACATTTGTGCGGTATGCTTCCTCTCCAGATGTTAATAACTGTCATTGGGTGGATTCGACGGCGTTGCTCTTTCTTGCCTCCTTCACCGTGAGGGAGGAAGTGGAGGCGCTGCGGGGTTTTGTCCGTCCCGTTGCAGTTGACGGGTCCGACGTCAGTGAGACACGCAAAGCCCACCCGTACGCCGTGGAGGAATACCGCAAGCGCCTGCGTAAACAGCGGCAGATATGTGGCGGGGACTCGGATGGTGGCGATTACTCTCCCATCATTTTGCCTGTGCAGACACTTTTTCCGAACCTTATTGACGATGGCGCGTATCTTCGGGCAGCACGGCAGTTGTATGACGAGGTGGTGAAGAGGCTGCAGCCACAAGAGGGCAGCGGTAAGACGTACACATTCCTCGAACGACTACCACCGATTTCCGGGCTGGAGTTGTGAGGGGAGCGGAGAGGAAATGGATAATAGGAAAGCGATGCTTCTCATGTGCTTCACATTTGGGGAGGTTCGCATCACTGGAGGACGCTGGAGTATGTAGGAAGGTCCGATTTGGTGGAAAAGCACAAACAGAAAAGGAATCAAAAACAAATAAAAAGAGAAAAAAAGAAGGAAGAGTCTATGGACACGATGGGAAGTGAAAGCCAGCAATAAATGAGAGGATAGAATAAATGAGGAAAGAAGACATACAGATATATGAGATATACATATATATATATATACATATACAGGAAAAAGGAATATTGTTGTACTCTTTTCTTGCGATGGTTTAACCTCTCGCTTTCATTCTGTCGGCATGGAATTGTGTGGAATAATTTGTCTGTGTCTTTCCTTGACTGCCGCTCCCTCTTTTTTATTATTTATTTCTCTCCTTGTTTGCGTATCCATCATTCTGGTGAAGTATATAACATTATACGTAGTGACAGTCGTGCGATGCTGTACGACCGGACAATCGCCAAGGCACTTTTAGCGCTCACTACATCCCTTTACGTTTATTATGTCCTTTGGATAGGGGTGACGCCATTTATTGACCCTTCACACTTCACACAACATTTGTTTCCACCGCGGGAATACGGTCTGCTGCTCGCGAGCGTTGTGATGACGGTAGGATTAGGCCTCGCTTTGACCGTGGCGTCCGTGCACACAATTCTGCGCACAGGCATGGAAGAAGAAGAACAGGGAGAAAGAGGAAGAGTACAATCTTGCAAACACAATGGCTGTGTGGAAAGATGAGGTGCGCAGGGCCTTTTTTTTTTTTTTTTTTTTTTTTTTTGACGTGTTGCGCATTTTGCATTTTTTGATGCATGGAGGGAGGGAGAGAAAAGAAAAGAAAAAAAAATTTTTTGTGAGGCATTGCATCTCTCTTTCCTGTCATTTTGGTTCCTAATTCAATTGCAGCGATATCCTTCCGTTTTGTTTTTTTGTTTTTTCCTGCTGTGTGTGTGTTTGAGGGGAATAGGGGTTTGGTACTCTTCGCGTCGGACGTCATGTGTTTTCTTTTTATTGCGTCGTCATTGTCTCCCACAGTTGTGCTTTTTTCTTGCGTGTATACGGTGCCGATTGTGGGCTCTCTGGAGTTCCTTCTCTTTTCTTCAGCCTCTCCCTCTCTCTCCCTCTCCCTCTGTGTGTACGGGTCTTGTTGCTTCTTGCATGCCGCTTTGCTCCTTTGTTTTTTGTTGTTGTTTTTTTGTTGGACGGACTCGGAAGACTCTGGTGGTTTCTCTCCGTGGAAGAGAAATAGAGAGAGAGAGAAGGAAAGAACATTTGCGACGATGTCAAGTTTGTTTCAGTCATACGTCTTGTGGGTTCGCGATAATGCGGAGAATGCGCTGAGTGTTGAACGTTTCACGCAGCTGGTAGTCAGGATTGTCACAGACCCGCGCAACTTCATTACCACAGAATTTGCGTGGACGCTGGCCAAACTTCACTCGCTTTCGAATAGGATGATCATCTCCACGGCTGGTAGGCGTGTTGGATTCACCGAGAAAGTAGCCATAGTCATCAAGACGCTGGTGGAAATTGAGTGTCTGCTGGAACTGGGACTTCGTCGCTTCTTTGGCCATGAGGCGGCATGGACTGTCTTGTTGGCGCTTCAGTCCATCAAGTGCGTTCTTAACATGCTTGTGCATCAGCAGCTGTTCCTTGTGCCGTGGATATGGGCTGCCGTGCGCCAGCGGCTGCAGCTGATGCTGCAACAATTCATGAGGCTTCCAGATTACGGCCGACGGATATCCTCAGCGGTTGCGGAGGGGTTCAGCGCTTCGCCTGCCACTCAAGTCTCTTTGGCGCCTGTGCGGTCCGGCACAGTTGGTCCAGCGAACGTACGGCTTGTAATCCCTCGTGTTGCGCTGCGACAGACGCATCACAGCACCGCAGCGGGGTCTGGCGAAAAGGAGAATGTTGTGAAAACGAGTGAGTCCCTTCGGTGTACGGGAATCGATTTATTGGGGCTTTTGGTCGATCTTGTCCTGGTGCTCCGACCGTTATTGTTGCTGTATTTTTCCAGGCGTGCGTTCCCGTATGGGAGAACAGGCATTGCCACGCTGCCCGTTGCGCCCATGGCGTCTAGCCACACGCGTAGCAGTGAGAAGGATGGAACGCCTGCGATGAATGATGCGGATGACTATGACGGTCTGTTCCTTGTGCGGGCGGCAATGAGTGACGGGGTTTCCAATTCTCTGCTCTCCAGCTGGGGTGTGGGGTTGTCGTTCTTTGGTCTGGACACCGTACTCGCCTTGCTCTCGCGCTACATCCGTCGTCACCGTGTGCCTGTTGTCTACATCAACAACAGTGAGACGTGCGACCTTCCGGAGTCCGACGTCGGGGTGAAGGACGGTGAATTGTCATCTCGCAGTAATGACGTCAACAACCACTCACCCCATCACCTGGGCAACAGCACCAGCGGCAATCACGCCAGCAGCAACGGCTCATCTGCGCCCCTGCCACCACTTTTGCCGCGGCCTCCGACGGGTGATGTGGCAGAGCTCGCCCCTGTTCTCTCACGCGATAGCCTTCGAGTGCAGCAGATAGTTCGCAATATCGCCTTCTCCTTCCTGCGCGACCCCTTTTTCCCGGCACTGCTGCAGAAGTTTGTGTACGAACATTTTGTCGTGGGGCGTGTGAACCGCATTCCGGTTTTAGGGCCAATTTTTGGATTTCAGGTCGCCTACTTCCTTTGCAAGCAGCACTACTGCTTCATGTACCTTCTCGAGTAGCAATGACATGCACACACGTATCCATTGTACATGTGTGTGTATGTCTATAGGTGGGTGAGTATTTTTTTTTTTTTTTTATGGAGTACAGGCGTTGCGGAGAAGAAAAGAAACGAAAAACTGGGATAAAATGTTACGGTTGATGAGTTCCGTTTGCTCAGAACAAACACGGAAGCAAAAAAAAAAAAAAAAGGAAAAACACACACAAAAAACAAAAAAAAAAAAAAGGAATTCCCTTCAAAGAACAAAATATGAAAAGAACTGTGTAAGTTACCTCCGGATGGTGGACAAGAAGAATGATAAAAGAAAGAAAAAGGGAGAAATGGCGAAAGAGTGTCATTTGATGCGAGATGGACGGTGGTGGGTGTATGCTTTTGGATCATCTCGGTTTGAATGGAAGAGGGGAAAAGAACAATGAAGGCGTTTTAAGGCGGAGGAAGGGAGCATCACTACATTTACATAAATCCAGACAATGAGAGTTGGGGGAGAAAGAGGGAGGTGGATGGCCCATGCGATGTTTATGGACGAACACTCATCGGTGGTGATAGAACCGATGGAATGCAAAGTCATCACGTTGAGCTTCAAAGGGAGTGTTTTTTTTGTTGTTTTTTTTTTATGTTTGGTGTTTGCCTTGTAACGGCGCAGTGCCACGATATTGCAGCAAACAGGAATACGCATACATTCTTACATATTAATATGTAAGAGAAGGCTACTTTTGTTGTTGTTTTTTAGGAGAGAGGGGCGTTTTTACCCCCTTCATTACTTTTCTTTATTGGAGCTGGGGACTTTGGGGTCTGATGTACTTTACCTCTTATTTCCTTTTTGCTTTGTCTTACTGTTGGCTTCTCACTGCCGTGGTGTGGGGAAGGGAAATTAAAGAGGAGGCGGGAAGCACAAGAATAATAAAGTAACTAGGGGGAACTGCCGGGCGGTTCGGAGGTAAAATTTGGGCGCACATTCCTTGGAATAGGCAACCGGCCGCACGCAGAACTTTGTGCACGCGTGGCGGAGAGAAGTGTGTGGGGGGCGATGATGAGTACGGGTGCGGAAATAGAGGCGATGAGAGAAGAGGTGAGCCGCGACGAGGCGGGGGCGTTGGAGGCAACACAAGCGGTGGAGTCGGCCCTGCAGCGGTATCGCAGTCATGTACGCGGGAAAATACTCGGGGAGGCGCTTGTTGAGTCCTCAACCCTCGCCGCCGCGGCGCTGGAGGAGATGACGCAGTCGCATGCCCGGACAGTGGAGGAGCTGAACGCACAAATTGCGGGGCTGCAGGAACAGATGTTCGAGGCGGCGGCAGTCATTGAGGCACTTGGAGGACAAATTGCGGGGGACACAAACACTTCTTCGTCCCCCTCCGTGGCGCGACGCTCATTCGCTCTGGATGTGTGCACCACCTCACGTGAAAAGGGAGATGAGAGCACACGGATGCCCACAGAAACGGAGGAACTTCGGTTAACGGAGGAAAACCAGCAGCGCCTTTCATCCCTGGGGGAGTCGACATCCGATGCGTTTCATACGGCGCAGAGTGGCAGTCGTGGCACAGGCAGAACCGCCCCGCCGGAGATTGACGTGACTCACTCCGCACTCTATGCAGAACTGCTTCAATGTCGTGGCACGCTAAAGTTACAGCAACAGCAGCAGGCAGCAATGAAAACGCAAATGAAGGAGTTGACTGCGTTGTTATCAAGGGTGGTGAAGGAGAACGCCACGTATCGGCAAGAAATTCAACTGCTGCGTGCGACAACTGTTCCTGTGGAGGAGCACAGGCAAATCCTTCATGGGCGTGATGCCCTGGAGCAGGAGTGTCGTTACAAGGAACTGGAATTGCAGCATCTAAAAGAAGAACTGGAAACGGCGTTGAACGGCTTCATTTCGCAGCCGCAGGAAGGGACGAGCCTACTTGATGTGGGTGTCATTCATGAAGGTGCCCCTGTACTGCCTTCACAACCCTCCTCATCGTTCATGTCAGCAGCACCGAGGGGGGATGTCACACACGGCACGGGTGAGAAGGATACAATCGTGTGTTCTTCTCACATTTCAACGGCGGAGGGTTTGGCTTCTGAGCCCAGTTGGAACGAGGAGGGGTTGCAGCATGCGGGCCTTTGGAAGACGGCAATTCGTGAGCTGGAGCAGCAGGCAGTTCTTGCCGCATCTCAACTATCCGCAGCCGAACGACTGCGTGAGGCAGAGAGTCGCATTGAAGAACTGGAGGCGATCCAGGCGGAACTGCGCACCTCGCTGGAAACGTTGGAGGCGGAGGACAAATGTGTACGGGAGGACTGTGGGCAACTGGTATTCCGCAATGCGGTCCTGTCTCAACAAGTAGCCTCCCTGCTTGTACGAGTTGAACGGCAGCGCCGTGCATTGGAGCGGCAGGAGAAGATGAATCTGTTGGTGGAAGAAGGGGATGCCGTTTCCGACTCGGAAATACTTCTCGCAGGCGAGGAGCCTCTCCGTCCGGACAGCCGCCGTGCACAGAGGGGCCGCGTGGCATCAGCCGTTCAGTCCCTCCTGGAGCGTCGCCGTGCCGTCTCTGCGTTCGCCCCATCGTCGCCGTCGGCGGGAGGAGCTGCAGAGATGACAAGAGGAGGAGGGGATGGTCGTGGCAGTTTTTTGGATCTGACGCTTCAGCCCGCCGAACCGCTGGAAGTTGAGGGCGGCTTGCGAACAGGGCTGGGAGTGTTCGCCAGGAACTCACACCGTCCGCGCCGCTCGCTGGCGTTGCGCAACTTGGGTTCTCCATCCGTAGAGGTGGACTTCACGCGCGTTCCGCAGCTCCCGGCGACCGATCAGCTCACCGGTGTCGCGCTGGGACGCCCATCGCATTACGCGACACTTGACCCCGCCCGGCTCACGACAGCAGATAACAGCAGCGGCAGCAGCAGTCGTCACACGAATCATAACGGTTTTCACAGCGTAGGCTCATCGGGCTCTGCCACAAAGACTTTATTTGTGAGCGACAACACAGAGGAGAACAGGCAGTTTCTTGAGCTCCTCCGCGAAGACGAGAACTTGGACCGCTACTCCATCAACTCCGTGACAGAGCTGCTGCAGCGCAACCAAGAGTTGTTGCAGCAGCTGTACGTGGCGACAAAACGTGCTGAATCAGCGGAGCGGCGTCACCAGGAAAGAGACAGTGAAGAGAATGTAGTGGAGGAAGGGGAAAGTCGGGCTGCTTCTGACGTGGAGGCCGCGCAGCCGCATCGCAGAGTTTGTCGGAAGCGCAGTAGGGAAGAGGCATCGTCTACGGAATTGCACTCACAGCAGCAGCAGCAGCAGCAAGTGGTGGAAGAGGAGGGTGAACGTGGTGGAAGGAGCACACCGCAGAGACATACGCTCCGTCATGGTTATTACAATGAAGAGGGGGGGGACGAATGGCGACAGTCCTTCAAGGCACCCGATGACCGCTACGTGCAGTTGGAGGAGCATTTGGACGGGCAAATTGATGCCGTGCTGCGGAACCATGAGTCACAGCTGATTTTAACCGACAACGGTCTGGCTGCTTCGCTTCTTCGCATCATGGAGCTTGGGCGAAAACCGGGTGATGGTTACGGCAGTAGTAGTATTAGTAGTCTCCGTTGCCACAGCAGCAACACGGAGGAGGCATCCGCAGTGGAAGCCACAACAAACAGCATGAAAGATGCTGTTGTGACGTCTCTTGTGCGTCTGTGCACAGAACTGGGGGTGCAGACGGTCAACCAGGCTGTTACTCTTGCCTCAGTCCAGCAGTCTGAGCACGCGGAGATGATGCAGAAGTGCTGGGCGGAGGCACAGCGTGTCCTCCTACGCTCCGCAGCGGAACTACAGGCGGCCGTTGCCAGTTTACCGCACCCTGTGCAGTACACGGAGGCGAAGCAGATGGAGGAAGCCGCTATGGAAGGGGCGGGTGGTCGCAATGAAAACGACGAGGTGCAACTGCTACAAAACATCACAAGTCTTCTGCGCACAGCGTCTCTGAAGGAGCATAGCATTCAGCGTGTCCTCCAATTGGCTGCTCGGCGCCAGCGGGCGGCGAAACGCGTTTGTGGGGAACAACGACAAGAAACAGATAATGATGATGATGATGATGATGATGATGATGATCTGGACAATGATCAGCAGGTCCTGCGGAAGCTAAAAGTGCAACTTGAAGGAGTTCAGACGCAGTACGAAAAGCTTCTTGCCGCCCATCACGAGGAGCGGAAGCAGCACACCGCTCTGCTGGACCGCATGTGGCGAATGGAGGAAGAAAAAGTTGACGCCGTACGGTCCCGTGACGAGGCGTTGGAGCGCATGACATGGATGATGACACGCGAGGAGTATGAAGCGACGGTTGACGCACTTGATGCTGCAAAGACGACCATAGAAGACCTGGAAGCGCAGCTGCGATACGCACAGGAGACAAACAACCAGCAGCTGGCGGAAGTTGATCGATGGCGACAGGTGAGCCTTGACCACGAGCGACAACGCGAGGAAGACGCTGCAATTGTGGCGACGCAGCTGGCAGAGAAGGATCGTCTTATCGCCCAATTTGTGCAGCAGCACCAGCAGATTGAGTCACACAACAGCGAGCTTCTGGCGAGCATTTGTCGGATGGAAGCAAATGCAACGCAGCAACGAGAGAAAATTGCGTCACAGGATGACCATGAAAGGGCGCTTCGAGAACAACTGCGCCGTGCGGAGCTTGCGCTACTGGAACAGCAATGCACGCAGGACTTGCTGTTTGCCATATTCCCTGGCGATCGTGCGTTGGAGGAGAACCGCAATTTAATTCAGGCGATGCGTGCTGAGAAGGAACGACTCGCGGAGACAGTGGCGTCGTTGCAGCTTGAACTCGAGAATGTCCACCGCGACTTGGCCTCCGCACGACTGCAGATACATGCGGCGGAGCAGGCACGTCAGGAGGCGGAGTTGCAGCTACATGAGGTCTCGTTAAGCCGGGCCAACGTTGTACCTGCCGCAATGTTGTCATCAGCCCCAACGGCAGAGGGAATGCCAACAACAACAACGGCATCCGCGACGGGGACGGTGGAGTTGGAATTGCTGCAGCGCACGAATGCCTCCCTGTTGGCGGAGAAGCGGGGCTGGACGGAGCGGGAGGCACTTTTGCGTGAGCAACTTGCCGCGCTTGGTCGGGACCCGGTCAGTGAAAACGCGCGACGCTATGGACTGAAGGCAACACGGAGCTTTGAAGAACAGCTGGTGGAGATGGACGAGCGGTGCCTGGGACTGCAGACTCGGGTGGCGGAAGCCGAGAAGCTTCGGGACACGGTAGACCAGTTGACCAAGGATGTGGAATCCTTGACGACGCAGCTGGATGCCGCAAGGAATGCCCTTGCGATGCAGCAGGAGTCTAATGAGACGCTTCAGGAGGAAATGAAGACGATGGCTGCGGCCATCCAGCAGAAGGAGGAGTCACATGATGCAGTGAAGCTGACATTGGCAGAGAAGGAGGAACTCATCAGCAGCATCAGTGGTGCGATTAGCACACTTGAAAAGGAAGTGGAGAAAATGGACGAGCGTCTGCGCGCCAGCGATGAGGAACGACAGCGACTTTACCAAGATAATGTAAAGCTCATTGAAAACGTCGCAGCGCTTATGGAGGATGTGAAGAAGAAAGAGGCGGAACGTAAAGCGGCGCAGGCGGCGTTGGCTCAAGGACTTGCCTCCGCATCATCATCATCATCATATCGTTGGCGTGGTCGCAGCGCTGGGAGCGGTACCCCAGGGCCCAAGTCCATCACCGGCTCACTCGGGAAGGCACCGAATTGAAGAGCTAGTGGCGTGTGACGCTGGGGTTTCTTTTGTCTATACGGTTGTTGTTGAGGTGTGCATCGGTGTTTACGGGGCGAGGGAAACAGATAGAAGAAACAAGAAAAAAGGAAGTCAATGAACGAATAAAAATTAAAAATGTGAAACAACTGTTGCAGGAACGACGTGTATATGAGGGATTAGAGAAGAAAAATGTCTTTCGACGAGTGTTTATTTCTCAGCAGCACCCCGATACAAATGAATTGGGGCTTTTTGGCGATGACTGTGCGTGTAGTACTTGCTTGGGGATACGTTTTTTTTGTTTCATGCTTGCTATGAGGGGTGGATAGGGACATTATATATATTTCTCCGTGTGTTTTTTTGCGGTGCCTTGAGTTAATGATTTTCTTCTGCGCTTTGTTTTAGTTTTTTTTTTTCTTTGAGCCAATTCACTTGTAGCGTGAACTGTTGTGAAGAAGAGTGGGGAGGGGGGATATTTTAGCTTGCAGGCACATATTAGCCGGTATTACACGCGTGAGTGTGGCGGGCTGGGAATTGGGCGGGTGTTTTGCTGCTTCCATTGATTTCCCTTTCACATGTCTGTGACGGGTGTTTTTAGCAAAGGCCGCGGCATCGGTCATGCAGCAGTCACATCCATCCTGCGCTATATCCCACGTGCCCGCGTGCCGTGGCAGCCGAGCCGCTTTGGTCGGGAGAACCTCTCGGCGAGTGATCTGGCGGTTTTGTGGAGCCGCGGTCGCTACCGCGATGGCCCCGGAAACTACAATAGCGGGTACCACACGGAAAAGACACATGTGCTTGAGGATAACACGGTGACAATGATCCCGAAGCATGAGCTAGAGAAATATATGCCGGATATAAGCATTGGGCCCAAGGCACTTGTGACGCCTGTGTCACTGATGAGTGCTCGAAATGGTCATCGCGTCACGCATGACTTGTTGCATTCATACGACCCTCACATTGGTCGGCTGGATAAACCAGCTGTGGTGGACCACGACAACATTACCGTTGAAGACCCGAACCGTGTGGGGCTGAATGCTGCAACGCTCGACTGTCGTGGACGTATTTACCGCTGGTTACGCCGTGGGCCATTCTTTCAGGAGGATCATTACTTCCGACGGTCACTGAGACTTAACCGCGATGGCACCGTACCTACCGCCGCGCACGAGGCCCCGCTGATGCGCAAGATTGTGCGTCTTGCCCAACGTGGTCATCTTAAGGCGGCATGTGAAGAGTACCGCCGCGTTACAACTGTACCACCTGTCGAAGTGTACCGTGCATTAACGGCCTGTTGCATTCCAGGAGGACTTATCGCTGACGCAGTAGCTATTTTTGAGGATGGCAATTCAAAACTTTTTTATGTCGCACGCGATGGGGAAGTGCTACATAACGTGATGCGTTGCGCCATAAAGGCGAAAAACCGCGTACGTGTTATGTGGGTCTACAATGTCATGCGGGGACGGTATTATGAGAATGTTATTGTACGTGCGGAGATTGACCCTATTTGGCGCTATCGTATTGCCCTGCTTGCGCTGGAGTACTTTCTTGATCACAATTGTGCCGAAGAGGCGGGGACGGTGTATAGCTACCTTGTGGAAGAGGACCTCCTGCAGTGTGATGTCCATTTGCGTGTCGGTCTTCACATGCGAGAGGCACTCTCGAAGGGTAAGAGCGTAGGCCTTAGCGACGAGGTGTTGCGTGCGACGTCACTGGTGACGGACGTTGCAACGGTAGCACCGGAGGTGGCGCGTGAGCTGTACCAGCGACATGTTGAAGCCCTACGCGAAAATGAGAAAAGTAATGATTGTGACATGAACACAAAGAATGATGGCGCGACGGGGTGTGCGTGGTCGGCGCATGGCCTACTCACGGCCTTGGACTTTACGCAGAAAGATGATGCCTTGCCATGGATGCAGCAGAACTTTGGTGATGTTGACGTTGCCAGCGTCCTGCGGTGGGCCCGGTTTTACCACTCCAAGGATTTGATGGCCAAAGATCGACCGCGCTACCTGGCGCGTGCCGTAGCGTGGATTGAATTGCTTAGCAAGAGGAGTCACATGATGGAGGAAGCGCCGCTCACGTACATGCGAAAGTCCAAGCCGTTGTCTCTCAATACGAATTCGAATTTACGTGTCGCATGGCAAACCCCCGTGGCGCGGCCAGACGGGCCTCCACGACTGCTGGCACGCGAAGAGGGCTACACATTCCACCACAACGAACACTCCCGCTTTGTCACCGAGACATACCGTCATCCAGGGGAGACGTTGCAATCCCGCTTCTTGGCAATGCAGCCTATTCACACGGAAGTCTCTGCCAAAGAGGATTTCCAGGAGATATACGCGCAGCAGCAAGAGCAGCGAGCACTGCCTAGCGGTGTCGTTTCCCCCACAGCACGCATCCTGCACCACTCGGTTACAAGCGAGATACATGGAGGCGGCGGTGGCCAACATCACCGCAGTATGTCCAGGGCAGAATCAAGCACTGGTGGGGCAGTGAAGAAGGAAAAGTTGAATCTTGTGAGTCCGCATGTGGCAGCCGAAAAACGCGGCGGCAGTGGCACAGGAAACATTGGTGGTACTGCTGCTGGTGGTGGCGTCACGCCGGAGTTTTAGCGTGCGAGAACAAAAAAAAAAAAATAGATAAAATTGTCGGTGGTGGAGGTCGGGAAAATTTGATAAAAACTAAAGAAAAGATGCTACAGAAGGGAATGGTAGAAATGGGGGCCTCTCTCCCTGTGTCTGCGTGTTTGATTTTTGTTGTTGTTGTTGGGGTGGGGAGATGTGTCTGGTGGTGAAGTGCGGGTGAACCCCGCAAAGAAAAAAAAAAGGGCTTTGGGTGGGCAATGAAATGTCACTTTCTCCGCCTTTTTTTTTTTTTTTTTTTTTTTTTTTTTTTGGGTGCTGTGGATTTGTTGATGTTTTCTGCGTGCTGAGGACTGTTCCTCCGTCAGTGTGACAAGTGTGTGTTATTCCCTATTTTCCCTCTCTCCCTCTCTCTCTCTCTGTGTGTGTGTGTGTGTGTGTATAGGGAGAAGTATGCTAAACCGCCACGGCACGCGTCTGGACATTGGGACGCCTGAAGACGTGGCGGAGCTCGACGCTGTGGAGATGGCCCTGCGGCAGGAAGACGGCATTTCATTTGGCGGCAGTGGCTTATTAACGGAGAGAGTTTTAAATTACGAACATCAACAACAACAACAACGACAACAGCAGCAGCAGCAGCAGCAGCAACAACATTACTACGGCCGCCGGTCACAGCAGCAACAACGGCCGCGGAGAGGGAATGGTGCCTCGTCGCAGTTTTCTCCATCCTACTGACCCCATTATACGCTGCACCAATGCCAACACTTCCATGCATACAAACATATATATATATATAGATACGATGCGTACATCTACAATCATACATTACAAATAGATACACTACATGATGGATTCCAATGAATGGGACGAGGAGTGTGAAGCAGAGCAGCGTCCGGAGCGAAAAAGAAACAGTGTTGCTTGTGTTGATCTTTTTGTTGTTGTTTTCGACGTCGTTGTCATTTCTTTAGAGGGAAGGGAATGTTATTTTTATTTCTGTTGCTATTGTTGCCAACTGTACATTTAGAACTCGCCCTTTTGTCTTTTTTTGTTTGTTTGTTTGTTTGTGTTTGTTTGTTGGGTTGATTCAATCCTTCTGTAATATAATGTCTATATATATATATATATATATATATGTACGTGTGTTTTCTTGCCTGGATGCATTTTGCAGGAAGAATTCATAACGGATAGAAGAGGAGGAGGGCATCTTTTTAATTGTGTTTCTGTTATTTTCTTTAAACATTATTATTATTTCATTTATTTGTGTTTTATTGTGTGGTTGTGGTCAAAAAAAAAAAAAAAAAAACATGAAAATATCCATTTAGAAAAGATACTTCATAAATAAATTACGTGTATATTATAAGATATATAAATATTTATATAAGACGAATAGAACGTTTTTCAAGGCTTATTTATCATGGAGCAATGGGACGTGGAGGATTTGAGTATGCACTCGGACTTACCCAACAGCACATCTTTTAGTTCTTTTAGTGAAGAAACGAAACCAACCTGGATGAAGAGCAGATTTGCAGAAGACATTGAGGCACCTTCGTTTTGGACACAACTTTTTGCAGCTGTTCATCGAGAAGCAACGGAAAGAAGGAGAACGTGGAAAGAAGTGTTGATTGAAATATGCGTGCCACTCATGTGTGTGGCGTGTACCTCGTTTCTATGGTGTTACTTTGGAGATGAGTACGGGCCTGAGGAATCGTATGTAAACTATACTTACCCGTTACCTAACACAGGAATTATCCCCCATAGTTCCTTTTTCTGCTACAATGATTCGATAATAAATTCTGATGGGAGCCAAAATTTCATTCCTGGATTGTTACCGTGTAGTCAGGCACCGTTTATTGCGGACTGCAGCGGTGAGGAGGACCAGATACCTGTGAAGGGGTTGTGTACGGACATTAAGAAAGAACCTGTGCTTAGCTTTGCAGGATACGCCATGGCGTTTTTGAATGAGATCCCGAAACTGGACGATATATTTCTGCTTCATTGGGCTGCCTCCAAGCAAAAAATGTCGTTGGAGTACGGTGAAGCATACAGGGATGCTGGTATTTTCTTAGTTACTCGTCTTTCTTCCTTGGCCGTGACAGGCTCCTTGTTTATTGGACCCGCCGCCAATGTTCCTCCGTTCCTTGTGAAATATTTTCAATCCGCATCCATTTATTTTGACTTGGTATACGCAGGAACATTTGATAACATTACGGAATTGCAGGAGAATATGGCCCGTGGCGATGTATTCGCTGTCATCAACATCAACGCCATGACGGCTGACAAGTTTGATGTTGAGATACGCATGGATGAGAAATCGATTCCACCGCCCGGAACTATCATTAATATTGAATACTCCGGAGGCGTCAATGGGCAAGCAGGAGAAATTTATATTGTTTCTGGCTTTCTAACACTTCAAACGATGCTGTATGATTTTTACTTGAAGGAGGTGAAACGTATTCCTTTTAATAAGAGCCATTTCACACCATATGTGATCTCAATGGGAAGTATTGCGTACTCTGCTCCAAAGTTGATTCGTTTATCGGGGATGTTGGTGGCCTTTGCGATTGTTCTCTCACTCATGTATCCTGTCACTCTGTTGGCACGACGTCGCGTGGTGGAGAAAGAGTTACGGATTCGGGAAATTATGGAAATTATGGGGTTAAGAAAGTGCACTATGGATCTGTCGTGGTTTCTACTTGCAGTGGCTACAATGTTGTTGATATCAGTTCTGAGTGTGGCGATTATGCGGCCATACATTAGGCGAACGGAATATTTTGTTTACTTCTTGATTTTCCTTGTCCATTCTCTTACGATGATTCCATTTGCTGGATTTGTCTCAACGTTCTTCAATAACGCACGTTTTGCGTCCATGATGGTGCCACTTATTTATTTTGCCGCCTCTTCACTGCCACTTGGCATTCAAATGGCTGGTGCCGTGACCAAAGCGGTGTTTTGTGTTATCCCACAGACATCCTTCTTTTTTTCGTTGATAATCCTCTTCCAACACGAGCTCGCAGGGGGGTTGGGGTTGAGTGACGCGAGGGCCGCGCTGGATAAGCCGAACTTGGCTCTTGTTCTTGTGATAACGATGGGGGACTTCTTTCTCTACCTTCTACTCATGATTTACCTGGAGGCGGTGATGCCACGTGAATACGGCACACCGAAGCACCCATTGTTTTTTATTCTCGAACCCTGCAGGCGTTTTTGGTGTCATGCACATGAATGGGACGAGGGGGGGCCGGATGGACGGAGTCCCGACGGGACTTACGAGGAGATGGACGAATCGGTGGACTACGCTGTTGAAATTAAAGGACTGCGCCGGGAGTATAAACGAGGACGACGGACGTTTGTGGCTGTTGACAATCTCTACTGGAATATGCCGAATTATTGCGTCTCCGTCTTGTTGGGCCCAAATGGCGCGGGCAAATCAACCACAATCAACATGATAACAGGCATGACACGCCCAGATGCAGGGGATTGCCGCGTCTTTGGGCGGTCTGTGCGAAAAGAACTATCCGTCGTACGGCAGAACATTTCTCTTTGCCCACAGCATAATGTTCTCTGGTCGCAGCTGACATGTCGTGAGCATCTCGAGTTCTTTGGTCGCATCAAGGGCCTCAAAGGATTGCGGTTGAAGGATGCCGTGATGAGGATGCTGCATGAGGTTGATTTGTATGATAAAATGGACTGCAATGCGCATACACTCAGTGGTGGGCAAAAACGCAAATTAAGTCTGGCAGCAGCGTTTGTCGGTGGAAGTCGCCTTGTGTTGTTGGATGAACCCACAGCCGGCATGGACGCTGTGGCACGACGTCACATGTGGGGATTGCTACGCCGCATGTCATTTATGCATGCCATTTTGCTCACAACACATTTTATGGATGAGGCTGACATTCTCGGCGACCACGTAGCCATTATGAGCCGTGGGGTGCTGAAGTGCAGCGGGAGCAGTTTATTTCTAAAGTCGAGATTAGCAGCGGCCTACACCCTCCAAATTTCTCTCGCCCCAGATGCCAATTACACGGCCATTAAACATCTCATTGCCAGCTATATCCCGGAAACGTACTCCATCTTTTCTGGCGCAACGGAGTTAAGGTGCAGGATACCCGCGGGAAATACAACCAACCTCGTCCCACTGTTGAAATGCCTGGAATCGCCATCGCAGTACGTTGGCATCCGCAACTACGCCCTCTCCGCCATGACGTTGGAAGATGTGTTTCTTCACGTTGTGGCGGAATCCGAGGCGAATTCGTCATTGGAAGATTTGCCTGTGGACGTTATCTGGAACTGTGCGCTGCTGTCGCGGAGCGGAGAGAGCATCGGCATGCAATTCCGTGCGCTGCTGAAGAAAAGAATCCTTTGTGCCGTACGAGATTGGTGGGCATTGGGTTTTCAAATTATCTGTCCTGCCGCCTGTGTACTGTTGGCGATGGTGTTGGATTCCATTCACTACAACCAGCCTGTCTCGGTCGAGTTGACTCCATCGGTCTACCCGTTTGATACCATGAGCGATGCCGTCGGGTGTTCGGCGTACTTCACTGCCTCCACCTACGCTCTCCCGGGCAGTGCACATCAAGTGCACATCACTGACCGCAACATGCTGAACTCTATGAATCTCTCTTGGTATCATGTCGACAACTATCTTCGTCACCCACTGGCCCATTTGAGTTCATTCAGCTGCGCAGATCCAAATTATGTCGCGATGTTAGGAACGAATCCCATTATGATTTTCTACAACACATCGGCCCCCCACGAAGTTGCCACCGCACTGAGTACGTTGTACTCGTTGATTCTGCAGAGTGTCGTGGGTACTGGCGCAATTTTACGCACCAGTATGAGTTACTTGTCTTCCGCCAAACTTGTCGATGTTAACAACGCATTTCAGACCGTATTTAAAGGTTTTGTTGTCGTGATTCCGTTTACTATTCTGCCTTCTAATTGTGTTTCCTGGGTGGTGCATGAACGTGAATGTGGAGCACGGCACTTACAATACCTTTCAGGTTTACGCTTTTTTGTTTATTGGGGTGTAAATTTTCTCTTTGACATGGCTGCCTACCTGCTAACATTTGTGTTGATCATCATCATATTCCTGGTGTTTGGACAAAAGCCATTCGTCGGCCCTGACGCAATTGGCCCCACCACATTGTTACTTCTTACATACGGCTTTACAGGAACGTCCATGGCGTACGTACTTTACCTGTTCTTTAAATCACATACCAAGGCCCAGTCTACCGTGATGGTCATCTGTTTTGCTGTTGGGTTTTTTCCATTGGTCGTTGTCAATATTTTTAATCTCATCGACAGGACTCAAGCCCTCTCAGAGGGGCTTCGCTGGCCGTTCCGACTTATGCCAACCTATGCTGTGGGTGAGGGGATCATTAACCTCATCACGCTAGACCAGCATCGGTCACGGAATCCGACTCTCAATGTGTGGAGTATGTCTACTGTTGGGTGGGCGTGTATCTTTATGGCATGTGAGTTCCCTGTTTTTATGCTTATCATACTTGTCGTGGACCATCCCCGATTTCGGCTTAAAATGCGGAAGCTCTCCTACCACCCCGAAAAGACGCGTGTGCGATATTTCGACAAGGACAGTGATGTGGAAGATGAGCAAATCCATGTTCATAGACAGTTGTACAGAAGGGAGAATTGGCAGGATGATGTCACATTGTTCCACTTGCGCAAGATGTACAGCAACGGTAAGTTGGCTGTCAAGGATATAACATTTGGCTTGGTGCGGGGTGAGGTCTTTGCTTTCTTGGGCACCAATGGGGCTGGTAAGACCACCGCCTTATCCATTTTGTGTCAGGAATCTGTACCGACTAGTGGCCGCGCCTACATTTGTGGGCACGATGTTGTGGAAGATGGTGAAAAGGCCAGAGCCTGCATCGGGTACTGTCCACAATTTGACGCATGTCTTGATTTGTTGACGGTGGAAGAGCATCTGCGGCTGTATGCAAGTATACGGGGTATCCTGAGGCAGCATCATACCCAAGTTGTGGAAGCCCTCATGCGGCTGTGCGGGGTGGAGGAGTACCGCGAAACACGAGCCCATCAACTTAGCGGTGGGAATCGCCGCAAATTAAGTCTTGCGCTGGCGTTGATAGGCGGACCACAGGTGGTGTTGTTGGATGAACCCACTGCGGGCATGGACCCGATTGCACGTCGTGGTGTGTGGAAATCCATTCAGAAAATTGCCGAAAAGTGCTCGGTTTTGCTCACAACGCACCACTTGGATGAAGTTGAGGCGTTGGCTGACTGCGTTGCCATCATGGTGGACGGTGACCTCCGCTGTATTGGCAACAAGACACATTTAAAGAACAAGTTTGGCACAGGGGCGGAAATGTCTCTCCGTATTCGTGACAAATCCTGTCGACAAAAGGTGGAGCGTCTGGTAGAAACGTTTTTTCCGGACGCGGTACTCAATGAGTATAATAACCAGCGCTTTGTCTACTCTCTGCCAAAACGAATACCCCTTTACGCCGTCTTTGAGGTATTGCAGAGAAACGAAGATCAGGTCGGCATCACAGACTACGGCGTCTCGCAGACGTCTATTGAACAAGTCTTCATGCGCATTAGCGAGGCGGCAAAGGCGGGATTATGACTGCTGCTAAGCATGGTGGCGTTTCCCCCTTTTCTCACTATTGTGTTTGTCTCTCTTCCTCTCTCTCTCTCTCTCTCTATGTGTGTGTGTGTGTGCATCGTTTTATTGTCCTATCATCTTTCTTATTTTTGTGTTAGCCGTTTGAATTCCTTACCTGCTGGAGAGGACTATTAGGCGTCTACACGAGGCGGCAACGGCCTACTTGCCGTTGAGAAGAGGGGGTGGCAGGAGGCAATGGTGGGGGCTGGAGTTCTATGCACATCGTACTGTCTTTTTGTTGTTGTTGTTTTTCTTTTTTGGCTGTTTTCTTTGCCTTTTTTTTTTTTTTTTTTTGTGTGTGTGTGTGTGTTGTTGTTGGGTTTTTTTTTGTTGTTGTTGTTTATTTTTGGCATTCAATCATTTTTTTTTCTCATGCTTTTGTTTTTCTGTTTCCCTCCCACAACCCACCCACCCCTGTCATTTGGGAATGATGTCGATTGTTGCCTGTGCGTGTGACCGGGGGGGAGGGAGGCGACCCTCCACCCATGCAGCCACGCATGCAGACATCAATCCACTTCATACATGACACCATATATATATATATATATTATTGGTATTGTTGCGGCGACTTTTTCGTTGTGTGTTCTTTTGTTTGTTTGTCTTTTCTTTTCCACCACCCCCACCCTGCCGTCCCGCCTCTTCCCTCCCGCCCTCCGTTCCACCCCGCCCTGCACGTGGAGGAAAGGGGGCCGCAGTAAAGACGACTGGCACCTCGTGCGCTCACGGCGAGCCCGGTTGCCAGAGAACGTCGTTGAGACTCCGCATGTGTGTTTTGCTTTACTTATTTTTTTTCCCATTTTCTGTGTGTTTTGCCTTAAAATTAGATGTTAACAGGTGTCTGTTGCCACTGTGGCCGTGAGTGAAAAGAGATAAGAAAGAAAGAAAAAAGGCCCATCGTCCTTTCTTTGCCGTAGGACATAAGTGTGCGTCTGTGTGGAAAGGGGGGAGGCATGAGGGAATTTGATGTCTGTTTCTTTTTTTTTTTTTTTTCTCTTTCTTTCTTTCTCTTCAATATGTATGCAATCCATACTTTATATTAAATGGATAGTCCGATGTATTTGCGCCGTATACATCCCCATCACCCCAGTCGAATGGAAGTGGGGATAGGGGCATATGTGCATACACCTATAGGGGGGGGGGGGGGGGGGTAAA